TTTGGTTTTACATGACTTTTCGCAAAAAAAATACACAGCAAATGTACACATTTTACGTGTACGTTTATTTTTTTCACAGCTCAAATTCCATCAGCTTTTGATTACAATTTGTTTAGAATATTTAATAGTCTTGTTATAGTCTTGACATAATTTATTCATACATGACCATTCATTAAAGAATTAATTGATAGTACCAATTAACCCTGATTTTCGAGACAAGAACGAGTTTTAACGCCCCTTTCAGCAACATAGTGCTTACTCACACCGCGTGCAGATTTATGACTAGTTACAGACAGAGACTGTTTAATTTTATTTAACATATATAGTATACTAACCTATCAAACCTCGGTGACTAAGAATATTTGAAATTCGACTCGATGTTTCAGGATCCAGAAACCGGAATGTAGGTGATAAATATCGATATTAAGACCATCTCAGTTTTCTTTAAAATATTACAGTGTTTTCATTTTTCCATTTTGTTTTTAAACTGATATCTTTATACATTTACATCGATATATCGTCAAATATATACTATGACTTTTATTGATTGTATAGCAATTGCCGAATAGTTTTGTTTCAAACTTTTCTCAATCAATTTTTTTTTTTTTTTTGGTGCTCTGACGGAAGGTAGAACTATCCGGAGAAAACACACGACAGGTGACAGGGTTAGAATCCGGCCATCTTGCTGAAGCAAACATTTAAGTTACGCACAAGAAAATATACATGTATCTACTTTAGTTTTGAATGGAAGAAAACGGTGTCATTGATTTAAAAATTATATTGTGAATAAATGTTTTACCAATCATCTACGAAACAGAAATGCTACATACGGGAGACCGGGGCAAGTTCGGCAACAAAAGATACTTGTGCTAATATTTACATCTTTGAGGATCTTAGCAGTTTAGTTGATTGGACATTCACACGAAAACATGACAAGGAAATAAAATTAGGCCAGGGCAAGTTCGGCCCCATGCAACGCACAAAAAGTCGTGAAATTGGCGGTAAAATCTGACGCTGCACGCTTTATGACGTCATGAACAAACTGATTGCAACGAGACTGTCTGTCCGAATTTACCCCAAGGCGGATTTCATTTTGGTCATCCGATCTGCCGACATGAAAAGTTAAATAAATCTTCAAATACGGAAGTGTTTTCCATAAGCAAATTAATGCCATACTACCCAGAACGATTTAGATAAAGATTGGCCGAACTTGCCCTGGTCTCTCAAATGTTTGCGTCGATCTTACAATCTCATAAGATCATCTGTTTTATTCTTATATCTCGACTTGCCGACTTACATTGCTCTGAATCTAAAAGTATCAGAGATTAACAAAAGCTACGCTATTGTTAAAATGAAAATAATACAAAACAAAAAATAAGTTGTGTTTTATCAAACTTTATTCTCCGTTATATAATAACAGATGCAAGTCAAAATTGTCAGTAAAATCATATTTCAAAACAGTATTCCGATCACAAGCGTTACATGGATAATGATGTCGGTGACATTTTTTATCTGTATATTATGTTATAAAAAACGATATAAAATAAAGATAACTTGAGTATTCAGACACGTTTGCTTTCCAAACAGATTTTCATCAGCAGATGTTTCATATGATCGAGATAAGATCATTGTGTTCGTTAAATGAAAAAGAAAATGCTTGGTAGTATTTTCAGATACATGGTTGACCCTATAAGCTAGGCCCCTTTGTAAAAGGTGTCGTCATTTACCCACAGTTGTGGTATATATCATTATTTGTAATACTTTTACCGGTGAAATATTGGTTTTAAAGTGTTGTACTCACTGCAGCAAGGAATGTCATTTTTTTCATTTTTTTTTCGTAAGTTTTTATTTCCCAGCACATACCTCACATATGAATGATTGCCAGGTTTGGGTCCCTGGGGTCAGTGTCCGTACAATAGGTTGTCCACTCGCAGGAGGAGATTCATTCAACGCTTTGATTAACTTCCATGACACAACACATATGCCTAATAGCCTGACAAACCGTGATATAATATATTCATTACCTAACACGCATACATACTATCTCTCATTTCCGTACACATATGCATACAACCACGACAGAACTTATAGATTATACTGATTTTCCTAACACACATATTCTCATGACATATATACATCTAATTCCTCTTGCATACTAACTACAATATCGTAAAAGCACATTTGATAACATATATTAACATAAATATGTATACCAAAAGTCGTAATACCAGGCCGAAGTAGTCGATAAGCGAGGTACATGTACCAACTTCTTGTAATATCCGTCTTTGCGTATTGCAGAGTTATATTCTCTTGAGAACAGGTATTGATTGTTACGTCATTTGTTTGTGAGAGTAACGTCATTTATTTTTGAAAAAAAAACGACATAATTTTCTCACACAAACCAATGACGTAACAATCAATACCTGTTCTCAAGAGAAGATAACTCTGCAAACGTAAAGACGGAATATATCAAGCTCGGCCTACCACAACGACCAAACATGGCTGCCTGACCGGTGTTCGGTGCAGCATTCCGATCACAAGCGTTACATGGATAATGATGTCGGTGACATTTTTTATCTGTATATTATGTTAAAAAAACGATATAAAATAAAGATAACTTTAGTATTCAGACACGTTTGCTTTCCAAACAAATTATCATCAGCAGATGATTCAGATGATCGAGATAAGATCATTTTGTTCGTTAAATAAAAAATAAAATGTTTGGTAGTATTTTCAGATACATGGTTGACCCTATAAGCTAGGCCCCTTTGTAAAAGGTGTCATCATTTACCCACAGTTGTGGTATATATCATTATTTGTAATACTTTTACCGGTGACATATAGGTTTTATCGTGTTGTTCACACTGCAGCAAGGAATGTCAAAATAATTTTCTTTTAGAAGTGAATAAAGATTTTTCTTATTTTAAAACGGAATAAAAATATAGAACGAATAAATCATTTAATACACTGTAATACACCAAATATTGGTTTTAAAGTGTTGTTCTCACTACAGCAAGGAATATCAAAATAATATTCTTTAAGAAGTGAATAAAGTTTTTTCTTATATAAAAACGGAATAAAAATATAGAACGAATAAATCATGTATTACACTGTAATAACCAATCGAAACGCTTGAAATGTGCGCGTTCGGCATCGTCCTTGATTGTGACGTCATATAAATTTAACGTCATTAACTGAGGTCCTGCCCCCAAATGTAAAGAGATGTTGACGTTTTTTAAGTGCTGTTCTTTGCAGAGTTATTTTTCTTCTTTTGTAAGCTTTAAAGTCAATAGACATTATTATATTTATTGGTTACCCGATAAATATCATTGATATCTTACAAAATATTCACACCAATAATATTACTATAATACTACGATGATACTATTTTGTATTTTATATTTTGCTACACTCAAGAAATATTAATGATTTTTAACAGTAAATCCTTAAATATCCTCTATACATGTATATATTCAGAATGTTTTAATGTAACAAATGTAAAACCACTTGTTTTAACAATGTCGTAATGAATTCACAAAAAAATGCAAACAAAAATCTTTTTTTTTTTGTATCAAAAAATGTCATTACAGTAGATATATTATAGATCTTATGATGAAAATGGTGAAATTTTCGTTCCGTATCCTTTTTACTTTGATAAAAATCTCCGAAGATGGGAGATTCTAAGATTCCTTGATACTGTTCAACACGGGTATTAAAAGGAATCAAATTATATAAAACGAACTTTATATTTCTACTCAAAATATTGAATATTTCAGAACAGGTACATATCCTTATTAGGGGATAGGGTTGATTGATATCACACACAAAAAAAACGTATTTTACATTCACACGGGATCACAGATCCACATTATGTATATATATCAAAATACGGAAATGATATGCATATTAACTTGAATATGCATAAAATCATAGCATTATGCATCAAACTTTGTTCAGAAGCTTAAATTTCCGGCCAGCCGGTTGCTTTGAGATTTGCGATTTGTTTAAATGAAAGTGGTTTTTAAAAAATATGTAGCGATTTTCCATTTCGGATAAGGTGCTTTTTCACTAGAGTTTTTTCATGAAGTCTTCAAAACCGAAATGTCCACACTTCACTGCTGTAGCAAAAATATTATGCCTAAAGACAATGACTCCGAAAATATGTGTCATAAGTTTTGTTTATGACGATTCAAAAGTTGTCAATATAATACTCCTCGCTCGAGTGCTTTTCGAGCTAGTTAATCGATAGTTTTGTATATGTAGGTACATATGTTACTTATTTCACCAGTGAAATATTGAGCATACTAAATATTCAAGAAAGCATTTCACTATATTGACGGTATAATATGAGAATATATAAGAATATCATTTCAACAATGTCCAAACCTCGACAGACCTCTATAATCGAGTTACAAATGTAATTGCGTTCATAGAACGTTCCCTAACATGTACGTACAGAGTTGATATCCTCGTCCCATTATCGTGTTCAGTTAAAAATCCCTTTTTCTTCACAGAGGAAAATGGAATGGGCATGAATATGGCCTTTTTCAAATTCAAAATATTTCACATGTTGGATACGCAAAAAAATACAATGGTCATATAAATACAGTCTTTTCCTCCCTATAGTTTTCCCTGTGTTGGAGATAGTGAGCGAAATTTCAATCCGAATTTTCTTATTCTAGCGTCATTTTGATTTGATCATACTACACGACTATTTAACAAGTGAATGCCGTCAACAGTAAAAAAAAATATGCGGAGAATCATAGTTGAACTATTGTTTTTCACAGTACAGTTGTTGAAGAAAAAACTAATTTTCCCTTGACATCTTTTGTTAACTCTAATATAATGTCAGATTGAAACACCAGACATATCAAAGTCACACCGGATATAAATGTTATCTTATAGTAAAGCAAACACGAAAATGTTTGTACATCGGATATGCATGTTTGTATACCGGATATGCATGTTTGTATACCGGATATGCATGTTTGTATACCGGATATGCACAAACTAGTTGACTAAGGCAAGAAACATGAACAAATATTGGTTAGATTAGTATCTCAATATCTCCAAAAACGGGGAAAAATACAAGTGGGTATACTGAAACGTCCCTACCCGAGGGATATTAAATATAGGCTGTAAAGTCCCTACCCGAGGGCCACTAACGTTAGACTGTAACGTCCCTGCCCGAGGGACATTTACGGAAATATAGTTTACATTTTAACTGGTCTCCTCCTCTTTGCAATGAATTTGAAGGTAACAGGTCCGTGAGATATACCGTCACAGCCCAGGATCTCTGGTAAAGTGTTCGGATCCTCCGGCAAAAACTCAAAGTTCTGTACCATGCTGGTTATGAAGAGGAACAGTTCAATCTTAGCTAAGTCCTTGCCCAGGCAAATGCGGCGTCCTGAAACAGAGAAGATATCAAGTAAGATATCACGGAGGGGAAACAAAGTATGTTGCTCATTTTGATATAAATAGAGATATGTTTCTACATAATACGTATGTTGACATTGGCGTGTGACATGCCAAATATCTAAATAATTTTGTAAATAACACATGCAACTGCGTCCATATCGCTAAGGCTCTGGGAAAGCTGGGCTTTGCTTTAAGTAAAGTATGCATTATAATTGGCTGGATTCTTTGTGCATGTATACACATTATACATTGCTTACCAATTGAAAACGGAATTAAGCTGTTTTGAACAACATATGTTCCTTCGCTGTCAAGAAATCGTTCCGGTCTAAATGCTTCCGGGTCGTCAAAGTACTTCGGATCCTTTAAAGCGGAAGTGAGGTTCATGAGCAGAGTAGCCCCCTTTGGAATGAGATAGTCATTCACGTAGAAGTCCTTGCTGGCCGAATGTGGCCCGGAAAGGGGAGCTACATTTCCGCATCGCTGAACCTCCGAAATGAATGCCTGACAGTAGTTGAGGTGCGGATGGTCCGCCATTGTCGGTGTTCGTTCGTAACCCAGATTTGATATGATTTCATCCGCCAATTTATCCTGTACGTCTTTGTTGTGAAGCATGAACATGACAGCCCATCTGATGGTTGCGCCGGAAGTCTCAACGCCGGCCACGAAGAATTCAAACAGGACATGGAGTAGCTGGTGCTCTGATAACAACAAACAACGGGTAACATTTATAACTCTCTAAACAGTAAATAGCGGGTAACATTTATAACTCTCTTTACAGTAAATAGTGGGTAACATTTATAACTCTCTAAACAGTAAATAGTGGGTAACATTTATAACTCTTTACACAGTAAAAAGGGGTAACATTTATAACTCTCTCCACAGTAAATAGCGGGTGACATTTATAACTCTCTTTACAGTAAATAGTGGGTAACATTTATAACTCTCTAAACAGTAAATAGTGGGTAACATTTATAACTCTCTACACAGTAAAAAGGGGTAACATTTATAACTCTCTCCACAGTAAATAGCAGGTAAAATTTATAACTCTCTAAACTTAGCGGGTAACATTTATAACTCTCTAAACAGAAAATAGCGGGTAACATTTATAATTCTCTAAACAGTAAATAGTGGGTAACATTTATAACTCTCTAAACAGTAAATAGCGGGGAACATTTATAACTCTCTAAACAGTAAATAGCGGGGAACATTTATAACTCTCTAAACAGTAAATAGCGGGGAACATTTATAACTCTCTAAACAGTAAATAGCGGGGAACATTTATAACTCTCTAAACAGTAAATAGCGGGTAACATTTATAATTCTCTAAACAGTAAATAGTGGGTAACATTTATAACTCTCTAAACAGTAAATAGTGGGTAACATTTATAACTCTCTACACGGTAAATAGCAGGTAACATTTATAACTCTCTGAACAGTAAATAGCAGGTAACATTTATAACTCTCTAAACTTAGCGGGTAACATTTATAACTCTCTACACAGTAAATAGCGGGTGACATTTATAACTCTCTATAGCACAGTAAAAAGGGGTAACATTTATAACTCTCTAAACAGTAAATAGCGGGTAACATTTATAACTCTCTACACAGTAAATAGCGGGTGACATTTATAACTCTCTAAACAGTAAATAGCGGGTGACATTTATAACTCTGTATACATTGTTTATTAACAGTTTTACTCAAGCGTTGATAATTTCCGGATGGAACAATATTTTTGCATGTTATATCTATTGAAATGAAGAAAATTGTGATTTCATCTTTCGTTATGAATTTGACAGTTTCATCAACTATAGTTGTATATTTATATCAATCGCCTTAATATCAGATATATATAACTGCATTAACGCGTGGTGAAAGGAAATACTAACAGAGAGATGGCAGGAGATATAGAGATGGTATGAGAGGTAAATAGAGGGAGGGGGGGGGACATAAAGATGGATGATTTCGAGATATTTACCCGTGTATGTTGTGTCCCCCTCCTGTGATTTGGCTTCAAGCATGAAGGCGTCGATAAAATCTTCGATGTCGTCTTCGTGTTCCGGAACGCCTCCAGGTCTTTCGTCGATCAATTCTTTCAGCCATTTGAAAATATCCTCTTTATCATCTAGCATTGATTGAGCATGGAACATGTCACCGGGAAGGTATTTGAGCGCAGGAAAAAAGCAAAGGGCTTCCGAAAACCCAGAGTATAGCATGATATCATCTATAGCTTTTAAAAGTTGAATCAGTCTAGCATCATCGTGCTCAAAACGCTTGCTCATACCTAATGTCAATGTAACGTTTGTAAGACTTGTTCCAATAATCCTGCGAAGTTCCATTGGCTTTTCGTTTGCATCGTGGATGCGCTTGATATAATGAGTGACTTCGTGCTCTATTAAGCCTTCGAGTCTCTCTCTGCGAAATGATTTCCTCAGGAAATTTAATATAAATGTCCGATGTTCCTTCCACAAATTACCAGAACTCCCACCAACACCTGCAATATCAAATATCAACACAAATATACGATACATACTGAAATTAAATTTGCGCGATCGGAAAATAAAAGGTTCATATTTCAAGAATCCTAAAAATCAAAACTCTGCATTTCTTTGCATCTAAGCAGCTCGCCTGACCCGACAGCTAGCCTTAGCCAAACGGCGTCATTTGAGATTTAAGCTACTTTTAGTTGGCAATCATAGTCAGTATGAATGCCAATTGAAAACGACAAATTCCTTCTTGAAAGTTAAAGTTTTGTCTAGTGTTCTAAAAGGAAAGAGATTGAGGAAATGACTGCAAAATACCAGTCGTTTATCAATGTCAGCATTACACTTAGTACATTGTAGCAATGGCAAATAGCATTTGTTGACACAGTGGAAATATAACAAGCAACAGACTGTAATAAATCTTTAAGAAAGTAAAGAAAAACCTCGATATAATGACACTCATTTTATTTGCCACTATTAGTCACGTATTTCAATGTCCCCCTTTTTAATCATATTTTCTGAACAATTTCCGTTACGCATCACCCTAGTCCGAATTATTCTGACGTTTTATCGACTTTTTTATATCGGTCTGTCCTCGATTAACCGACGACAGACCGATATAAAAAAAAAGTCGATAAAACGTCAGAATAATTCGGACTAGCATCACCCTTGATTTATTGCCAAATCTCTTTATGACGCCAAATTGTCCCTGAACAAACTGTGGCCGTATAACGAGGTCTTCTTTTTAATGTAAAACAGAGGGATCATAAGGTAATACACCTCCTGTAAACAAACAAATGGTGCACAGTGTATCTTGTAAAGATGTCTACCCAATACAAAAAGTTGATGTACCTAGTCAGTCGCATTATAATAAATAAGTTGTGCGTACGTGACTTATATCAGACTATTTTATTTCGGTTGGAATATCGTATGACGCAGCATACAATAGTTTGACCTACCGATCACGAGTAAGTCTAAAGGCGTGGGCGACCGTATTTTATAATGGCGTGCCGAAGAAAAGTAATGAATGGACCAACGACACAAGCTGACACAATGGTACCAGTGGCCTATTGTACGGAAACGCTCCGTCGACTGTGTTTACATAGGGATACTTATACGGTAGCATCATCAACTTCAAAGAGGAAGGTTCGTATTACCTATACATGATACGGGGTACATGCAATATTTGTAAATATCAGGCATGCCCTTACAGTCACACCAGTATATCAGACGAGAGGCAGTTGGTAGGGACAATAAGCAGACTGGAAAGTCACGTGGACATATATAGAACCTGGTCAGGGGTTTCCGAGTGCAAAAGGTATATAGCTAGACCGTGTTATCATTAGTTATGCCCTCGGAAAATAATTTGTGAACTGCTTTGAGACAACCTTCGAACTAGGTTGTGATAAAGCGGTATATTAGATCCTCAATTCAAACTGAGAGTAGCAATATTTACAGAGATTTTTGTCTTTATCTTTCTACCTGTTTAGATGAGACAGCATGTTTACCAGACCAAGACGCAGTTGTATGGCCTAGACTAAACTAAAGCAGAAGCGTGCGGCGAACTGTTTATTTATCATCTAGGGTAACAGATTTTATATATCAATGTTATTATTAAATCTACAAATGTACTATTACAGGATTTCAGCTAACGAGCCAGAAAATACACAACTCCACTCTAGTGCAAAATGAATTATTGTTAAGATAACGAACAAAAAGCCACACCAAATATCAATCCTTTGAGAATTATGTCACATCTTGAACACCACTCAATGGAAAGAACTAAATATTGTCGTGAGAAAAAATATCAAACAATTTCAGTAGCGTTATAACGGACTTCGGGAAAATTCACTGAAATAATGTAAAAATGCATGAGTTATAGGGGAAAATATACGATTCCAACCTTTAATTTGGCACAGTACTATATTTTAAAAAGTACCTGTAACAATCATGCAGAGCTTTTATTTAAATGAAATAATTGTATTGTGTGTATTGCATATACATTTGTACTTATATATGGAGTGTGATGAGAAGAAAAGAAAAAAGATAATGACAATAATAAAAAACATAAAATACTCATCTCGTGCATCTTGAATGATTATAAAAAATGCTTAAAGAAGCCATTTTAGTCGACAAATTATCAAATGATATATAAGCTTAAATTGTATTTATTCAGTTTAATATTATGGATCTGCTAACTTGTGACCAGGCGGACCATTGTAGTAATGTTATATATGTGACCCCAGGCTCTGACCGCAACATAGAGCTGTGATCCTGGCTATCTCTAATTCTTCAAATAATGCGAAGTGGTTGGGAGGTAAATTAGAAAAAAAGGCTGCACAATAACAACAACTACAAACCTACAATCACTACAACTGCGAACCCACCATGATACCAGCTACATACCAACCATGATTACAGCTACATACCAACCATGATAACAGCTACATACCAACCATGATGAATGCTACATACCAACCATGATAACATGTACATACAACCATGATAATAGCTACATACTAACCATGATAACAGCATCATACCAACCATTGTAACAGCTACATATCATCCATAATTACAGCTACATACCAACCATGATAACAGCTACATACAAACCATGATACCAGCTACATACCAACCATGATTACAGCTACATACCAACCAAGATAACAGCTACATACCAACCATGATAACATGTACATACCAACCATGATAACAGCATCATACCTAACAGCTACATACCAACCTACCAACCATGGAACAGCTACATACCATCCATAATTACAGCTACATACCAACCATGATAACAGCTACATACCAACCATGATAACATGTACATACCAACCATGATAACAGCTACATACAAACCATGATACCAGCTACATACCAACCATGATTACATCATCATACCAACTATGATAACGGCTACATACCAATCATGATAACAGCTACATACCAACCATGATAACATCATCATACCAACTATGATAACAGCTACATACCAACCATGATACCAGCTACATACCAACCATGATTACAGCTACATACTAACCAAGATAACAGCTACATACCAACCATGATAACATCATCATACCAACTATGATAACAGCTACATACCAACCATGATAACAGCTACATAGTAACCATGATAACAGCATCATACCAACCATGGAACAGCTACATACCATCCATAATTACAGCTACATACCAACCATGATTACAGCTACATACTAACCAAGATAACAGCTACATACCAACCATGATAACATGTACATACCAACCGTGATAACAGCATCATACTAACCATGATATTATGTACATACCAACCATGATAACAGCTACATACTAACCATGATAACAGCATCATGCCAACCATGATAACAGCATCATACCAACTATGTTAACAGCTACATACCAATCATGATAACAGCTACATACCAACCATGATAACAGCATCATACCAACTATGTTAACAGCTACATACCAATCATGATAACAGCTACATACCAACCATGATGACAGCTACATACCAACCATGATAACAGCTACTAACATGTACATACCAACCATGATAACAGCATAATACCAACCATGATAAAAGCTACATACCAACCATGATGACAGCTACATACCAACCATGATAACAGCTACTAACATGTACATACCAACCATGATAACAGCATCATACCAACTATGGTAACAGCTACATACCAATCATGAGAAAATCTACATACCAACCATGATAACATCATCATACCAACTATGATAACAGCTACATACCAACCATGATACCAGCTACAAACCAATCATGATTACAGCTACATACCAACCATGATAACAACTACATACCAACCATAGTTATAGCTACATAACAACCATGATAACAGCTACATACCAACCATGATTACAGCTACATACTAACCAAGATAACAGCTACATACCAACCATGGTAACATGTACATACCAACCGTGATAACAGCACCATACTAACCATGATATTATGTACATACCAACCATGATTACAGCTTCATACCATCCATAATTACAGCTTCATACCACCCATGATAACAGCTACATCCCAACCATGATAATATGTACATACCAACCATGATAACAGCTTCATACTAACCATGATAACAGCATCATACCAACCATGAAAACAGCATCATACCAACTATGGTAACAGCTACATACCAATCATGAGAAAATCTACATACCAACCATGATAACATCATCATACCAACTATGATAACAGCTACATACCAACCATGATTACAGCTACATACCAACCATGATAACAACTACATACCAACCATAGTTATAGCTACATAACAACCATGATAACAGCTACATACCAACCATGCTAATATGTACATACCAACCATGATAACAGCTTCATACTAACCATGATAACAGCATCATACCAACCATTGTAACAGCCACATATCATCCATAATTACAGCTACATACCAACCATGATAACAGCTACTAACATGTACATACCAACCATGATAACAGCATAATACCAACCATGATAAAAGCTACATACCAACCATGATGACAGCTACATACCAACCATGATAACAGCTACTAACATGTACATACCAACCATGATAACAGCATCATACTAACCATGATAACAGCATCATACCAACCATGAAAACAGCATCATACCAACTATGGTAACAGCTACATACCAACCATGATAACATCATCATACCAACTATGGTAACAGCTACATACCAACCATGATAACATCATCATACCAACTATGGTAACAGCTACATACCAATCATGATAACAGCTACATACCAACCATGATAATAGCTACATACTAACCATGATAACAGCAAACCGTGATAACAGCATCATACTAACCATGATATTATGTACATACCAACCATGATAACAGCTACATACCAACCAAGATAACAGCTACATACCAACCATGATAACATCATCATACCAACTATGGTAACAGCTACATACCAACCATGATAACATCTACATACCAACCATGATTACAGCTACATACTAACCATGATAACAGCTACATACCAACCATGAGAACATGTACATACCAACCATGATAACAGCTACATAGTAACCATGATAACAGCATCATACCAACCATGATAACATCATCATACCAACTATGATAACAGCTACATACCAACCATGATTACAGCGACACACCAACCATGATAACAGCTACATACCAACCATGGTAACAGCTACATACCAACTATGATAACATCATCATACCAACTATGGTAACAGCTACATACCAATCATGATAAAATCTATATACCAACCATGATAACAGCTACATACCAACCATGCTAATATGTACATACCAACCATGATAACAGCTTCATACTAACCATGATAACAGCATCATACCAACCATGAAAACAGCATCATACCAACTATGGTAACAGCTACATACCAATCATGAGAAAATCTACATACCAACCATGATAACATCATCATACCAACTATGGTAACAGCTACATACCAATCATGATAACAGCTACATACCAACCATGATAACAGCTACATACCAACCACCACTACAGTAACAAACCCAACAAGATTACAACTCCTTACCGACTTAAATAACAGTTACAAACCCGTAATCATTATCTCATCCTCGATATTCAGGGGTTACGCTCATGTGCGCTCTCTACACATCTGGACTGATGCAACATATTCTGATATCGTTAAATATATGACGAGTAATTTAAGGATTGTATTTATCATAATTACGGATCATTTCACGGACTTGTGTGGCTCAATAAGCTTCATTTTATTTGTCCGCTACTGTGAAGTTTTATTATTTCTAATGAATGTACTAAGTAGATCATTAAAAAAGGCAATCATATCGTTGTTAATAAATCAAAGTGTGGTATTGTAAGTGTAACACTGACGCAGAGAGTCTAATTATAGAGATGATTGAATCCATTCAATATTATACTAGAATACATAAACATATTGTATCGTTTCGATATATGATTAACCTGCTGATTGGCGTCGAGCATATTCTTATTTGTTTTCATCATTAATTACAATAAAATTTAAATAGTACCTGGTCAGACATTTCAACATACGAACAAGTAATCAGTACACAAACAAGCAAATTCATGGAATGTATACCCTCAGCTTGCAGGACATATTGTAGGTAAACATTATTGAGGTTAGGTTTAAACATGTGAAAATCGTGCTGTTGAGACATAATGTATAGCTTGAAACTTGAAGAAAACAATACACTCTATACCTCATTGATTATCCGTAAATATGCACAAATCACATCGGTTGGCAATATAACTTAGCATGAGTTGGATGTGCATAAGGATTTTGGTTGAAACATCTTAACATTATCTACAGCAACAAGTACTAATTGTAATGGGAGACCATTACAGATGTCCCCTAAACTGCCCCGATAGTCGCAAAGATGCATCAGAAAAGGATCGCATTGCCATAGTACACCTACAATATACATACTAAATTTGAGTGAAATTGAGCAATTTCTAAATTGCAACCAATCAGAATCCTCTGTGTAGTTGCTATGGCAACGGAAAGTATGCGATTGAATTTTCAGTCCCCTAATACCCCTATATACCAATTTTCATCGAAATCAAACAATATCTAAATTGCGACCAATCAGAAGCCTCCGTGTGGTTGCTATGGTAACGAAACTTATGCGGTTTTATTCGCAGTCCCCTAATATACCTATATACCAATTTTCATAAAAAATCGACCAATATCTGAAATTTCACCAATCAGAAGCCTTCTTGCGGTTGCTATATGGTTGCTATTGAAACGAACCCTATGCGGTTGAATTCGCAGTACCTTAATATCCGTATATACCAATTTTCATCTGAATCGAACAATATCTAAATTTCGACCAATCATAAGCATCCATGTGGTTGCTATGGTAACGAAACTTATGCGGTTTTATTCGCAGTCCCCTAAAACCCCTATATATCATTTTTCATAAAAAATAAAATTAAAAAATCTAAATTTCGACCAATAAGAAGCGCCTCCATTTAGTTGCTATGACAACGAACCCTATGCGGTTGAATTCGCAGTCCCCTTATACCCCAAGATACCAATTCTCATCAAAATCTAACAATACCTTAATTTCCACTAATCAGAAGCCTTTGTGTTGTTGCTATGGCAACGAAACTAATGCGGTTGAATTCGCAGTCCCCTAATATCCCTATATATACCAATTTTCATCAAAATCGAAACAAGTTTGAACAAAATCGGTTAACATTTATTGTAGTTATTGCACGGAAACGAAACGCGGCAGATAATGACGTTTCATTTTTCAAGGGGCCATAACTCCGCCAAATGGGGTCTGCTGAAAGTGGTCATCGAACTTGGCCGAGCCCTTAAGGCATTTAACCCTGTGACCAAGTTTGAAGAAAATCGGTTAACATTTGTTGTAGTTATTGCACGGAAACGAAGCGTGACAGACAGACGGACAGACGGGCAGACCCATATTAATATCCCCCGTTTCGGTGAAAGCGGGGGATAATAAGTACAATTATAATATAAGACAGTCCAAGCAAGTACTATGAAATAGAAAAATAAAAACCGTTACAATAAAATTGACATGAAACACCTCGATTCTATCCGATTCAATCCCAAACCCGTATAGCATACAGCACTTACCATATCCCTTCTGTATCGACTTGATGAAGAAGCTCTGAGGAGGTCTGTTCGTTGTCGCATCACCTTTCTTGACAAAAACTTCACGGATAAGGTCATACCCGCTGAAGATGACACATTTCGTTGTTCCAAATGTCAGGCAGACGATGTCTCCAAACTCAGCCCGAAGCCGTTTGTACACTGCTAGCTTGTCCGTAGGTACGAGGACCAAGGAGTTCCCAAGTATAGGCAGCGGGGTAGGGCCAGGCGGTAGGTGGACATCGCGCCGGGATCGCAGGATAAGAGAAATGACCATACAGGCCAAAACGACGCAGATTCCGCCAGTGACCAGGAACGTGACTGACAGCATTGTGATGACGTGGAAGAGAATGGTGAGAAAAGATGATAGCTGCCGTTTATATAGCTGTCAGATAATAAAGGGTTGGTATGCAAAGCAGCTATCGCAAGCATTTTCTGAATGAAGGGTTCAAGTGTATTCCACGTGACCTTATACGACGATACTGTTCGCTACTACTATAATGGTTTTCCTATTACATGTTACCTCGTCAAACGATACTGTGTACTACTAAGGTTACACAGATGTACGTCAGACAGGTTTCTTTGTTTAAGTTTTTTTTTATCATAAGACATACACGTGATGGAATTAATCCTCTGATACTTACAATGCTGGTTTATCAAACAATTGTATTCCATGTTACCTTAATATAAAATCAGTCCACTTTAGGTTTTATAGTCGTTATGATAGCAACTAGGTATTAACTTATGTTGATATACTGGTCACCAACACACATGCCATAATATGAAACCTGTATAATTCTTTGGTACGGTAACGAAGTATCGTTATTAATTTTGATCAATAAAATCTTAAGTATAAATATAGATGATTTCATTGAAGTTCAGGCCAATAAATGAAACGAATACTTGCTATAGATACGCTATACACAGCCTATTGTTCTAAAGAAAATCTAAATATATGATAATGAGATCAACATTTAATAACAGAGTAAGGTTAAACTATAATGTCTTGCAAGCTTGTTATCATCGCCTAAAATTATATGCCCTAGTTACCGATTGAGTTTTCTCGTGTAAGATTTCTTTAAATACAAGACACTATTTTGATGGTAGTCGTCTATTATTCAGCTGAAACATTTCATTTATTGTTTACTATTAATTTTTAATTAATCGTTCACACAAATGTACCTAGTATATCATGCAGAATGTGTTTTGTACGTATATCCTCTATTTATTAACTAAGTGTTAAATAAAGGCTATACTAGTATGCTATACTAGAGATGTGTTTCCAGATACAATTACAGTACATGTATATCAAAATATTTATTCTTTATTTTTATCATTTCAATTAATCTTGATAAGGCAAATACATGGTTGGGTGTAAATCAGGCGACATTTAAATGAAATTGAAGCAGGTGGTTCCGGATACTTGGTGTAATGTAATTCTGATTCGTCATGGTGAATCGCGTTTCTTCACTAATGTATCTATCCGTGATTACATGTATAAATGGTATGTTCGGATATATAACATCCGTAATATTCCCCGGCTAGTAAGAACATTCTAGACTAAAGTACAACACATTGTAAAATTAAGGATATTTTACGATCGTTTAGCTGTCCTAGCCAGGGCTTTTTTCATGTTGTCGATTTAACTAAAAATGCGCAACTACCATCCCGAATACAACAACCAGGCAGTGTTTAATACTAGATGGTTCTTGATTATAAACATCCAAAGGCCGCTGTTTGGAGCATCGATATTGAAATTGGCATAACCTTTGTATTAAATTTAACATTAAAGAACATGGCTGTAAATAAAGATATTTCTCAGAAAAAAAAATGTTTCAGAAAAAAAAACCAAAGAATATTTGGGAGGTTTTATGTTATTTACCCTAAAAACCGTGATCATTCGCATTTTTTTTTTAAATGAAAGTACAGTTCTGATCCAATTTAAAAAGTGATATCTTCAAACTTTTAAAATATAAGTTATGATATATGCACCGTATAAAATGTATCATTATCAAGTTGATATAATTCTATATTTCACTAACGAAAATTCAAAAGTGTTGCTCGGCTAAGAATATTTATTATAAAAAGGGAAGCATGTCATTACTGTGAAATTTATTTAGGAGATAAACCGTTATATCTGCCATAAGATGCAAGGGGTCACAATCAAGTACGTGTCCGTTTAAATGTAAAATTCACCAGCTTATTTTGATAGCGTGCCTTTCTGTACTAAAGGGGTTTTCGGTACAAGTATAATCTGTATGGTCCCGTGTACCTGGTATTATCATAGTTGTACAAAGGACAGGTCAGTACTTCATGATCAGATGCCGTGAGATATTTACTCTGCATTCCACTGTAATCTTCTGAACAGTCACGTGAACATAGATGATATTAATCAAACTGGTACACTGAAACAAAAATCGTAAAATATTGAATACCATTAATTCAACAATGACATTATCAGCAGTGGTTTTTTTATTGACATCAAACAAAATTAATAATAATAAAGCTCTGTTTTGATATGTTTAATACATGAGCTATTTTTGTTAATTTGTCCTATATGCGTCGCTCAATAGATAAAATTGTTTTTTTTTGTGTGCTTTTTATAATATAATTCCATTTCATATTGTGATTTTTGTACATATGATAAATGTAAACAATGCTATATAACTAACGCAACACAATGCTTTAAAACGTACACAATTCTTAAATTCTATGAAGTACCTTATAAGGAAAGGCTGAGCATCACATTTAAAACTTAATTTAATGTTTTTAAGAACATTTTAGGACGGTAATATGATGTTATGTTTGTGACGCATGGAACTGAAATAAACTACTATAGATTGATTGATTGATTGATTGATTAATTGATAAGATAAGCGTTTACCTAGCTTTTAACTTTCGGGTTTAACTTATTGGTATCATGGTACATTGTACATATACGAAGGATATTATTGTATGCAAGAAAAATATTAAGTGTAATCGTCATAGTTACTGTCGGTACTTGGAAAAAGGCAAATGTATGTAGAATTACCCTACATATAGGTTTTAGAAACGATTTTAATTGTTTTTCTTCTTGAAAAATCTTTATTGTGTATAGGAAATATAAGTTTTGTTGTTATGTTAATTTCTAGGATCATAATTGGACACTTCTCTTGTGAGCCATGTATTCCTCATGTTGTTTCTGTTTCACGCTGGTACTAGAATTATTACTCCTCAACACGTTTAACCTGGGCAGTATTACCTCTTCAAACCATTCAAGCGGGCACTATTCCAAGTCAAACTGTATCTAGAGGGCAATATTTCCCCGTCTATTTGTTTCCCGGGGGCACTATTCCCCGTCAATATGTTTCCAGGGGGCGCTATTCCCCGTCAATTTGTTTACCGATGGCACTATCCCCCGTAAATCTGTTGTCAGAGGGCAAGATTTCCCGTCAATCTGTTTCCCGGGGGCACTATTCCCCGTCAATATGTTTCCAGGGGGCGCTATTCCCCGTCAATCTGTTTCCCGGGGGCACTATTCTCCGTCAATATTTTTCCCGAGGGCAAGATTCCCCGTCAATCTGTTTCCAGAGGGCGTTATTCCCCCGTCAATTTGTTTCCTGATGGCGCTATTCCCCGTCAAAAAACCAGTATTGTTTACACTTTTATGATGATTTGTATAAAAGTATAACGTTTAAATTATTCTCTCATTTACATTTGATGTTCTTAGTTGCGGCTCTTTCCTAACAGTTTTCTGATGGTATTGATTTGGTAATAAAGGACAATGCATGTTTAAAAGTTCACTTTGGTTTATGTTTCGGGTCATAATTAATCAAAGATTATTTCTAATGTACAGGTAAGCTGTACCGTTATCGTCCGTTATTGCTTGTTTATGAGGAATGTTTATGATAAATAAGATATCATCAATATTGTTATTAAGACCTGAACATATTTTCATAGCATATCTACGGAGAGAATACTCGTGTGTGTGTATAAAATAGGGTCATTCATCGCTTGTTAGTACATACCTGACGACCTCATATCTCTAGTCCAATTCAAAGTTCTTGACACCGTGTTGTATCAGATAATCCGTAAGGTCTAAGATTATGTTGTGATTAGTTAAGAAAATATCTAAATATTTGAAATGATAATGACGTCATAGGCATGGCGTGACTGATAACCTGCTTAACTTGACGCATTTTTTCATCGGACGATCTAAACAGAGTTATACGACAAAAGAAAAATGTTAAATTGTTTAAGATACATTTCAATCAAAGTTAATTGAAATGTATAGGAAACCCGAGCGAGTGCAACCTGCTACGTCAAAGGAACACACAAGGGTGTTATTGATTTTACTACATACACATTTTTTGCATATTAAATGTATCTATTGAACATAATTCGTTATATTTACATTTGCTCTGCATTGCCACTATATAGCACAACAAATGCCACTTCCATGTTATGAGACCATAACGCAGGCGTAGTGATATCTCAACTGGTCCGATTCACCACCGGATCGCTATTCCCCTCCGCACTAGCAAGCAGATAGGCAAAAACACCCGCTATGTTTCATTAATATTCACCGTGTTATGTAAGACTATTATGAAATGTCAATTTAATATATTGATTTGGGCTGTTCTATCTCTTGAACAAACACCGTGAAAGTAGAATTTAAAAGCGCGTTGTGAACTTAGACATGAAAATTAAACACATGAAAAATGTAAATATAAACATAAAACAGCAGTTCCGTGTTATGGCCCTATGACACCCCCTGTTCCATGCTATATGACCATAACACGGGACAGAATACAGTTTAATGCTTCAGTAACACCGTGTTCAATCTGTTTGCCGAAATCGTAAACCAAACAGCAATGATGGACACAATGACGTCGACGACTTTTAAAATAGTGACGTCACAATGCCACGTCTGTATTCGAGGATTCACCAGGTATGCAAAAATGACTGAAACCGATTGTTTTCGATAAAAAAACCCACACATTTTTGTTTTAAAAAACCTCTTAAGGGGTATTGTGACTGTAGAAAATTCAGCTAAAACCAAACTCGATGGAAATATGCAATTCAAGATGGCAGCAAATGACGTCATACTGAACTGTTTTTTTGAGTAAGGGAATTTTGGTTTACCAATATTTTTTGTATATGTACATTTTACATGTTAATTTTAAACACAACCATTAAATTGATTCAAGTTTTGAAACAGCAAATAGACCACCAAGAACTACAGAAAAAAAGACCAACTAAAATAGATGTCCTAATTGTCCAAAAGTTGCATCGAACACAATATTAAAAAAATATGTTTAAAGATTGAAATCGCAATTTTTTAGTTAATTACAAATTAAGGCAGTATTAGTTTATAACCGATTGCAATCTTGAATCTGTATTTGATTTTCATGCATCCTCCATTGTTGGCCATT